ACATTTACAAAAAAGCAAAGTTATTTTTTTTAAACCTATACACGTAAGATATATAAGAAATATAATTTTATTACTTGTTTTTTTTGTCATAAGGTTAAGAACATGACATGTACGTGACGTCTTGTAAATGATCAGTCTTGGTTTAACCACGCCAATCTCGGACTGGATGTAGAATTAAGAAGAAAAGACGGCAGCTTCGCGGAAATAAGGACACCGCGAGATTCACGCGCATGCTTAGACACGAGCGATTCTCATCGCGTTATTTTCGGGCGCTTCCATGCCGTGTTTATTTTTACGCGAAATGGGAAAGGACAACCGGTGGAAGGCAATTATATGTTTCTAATAACTTATCGATCGCCTCTCTTCCCTCTTTAGCGAACGAAAGGACGAGTTTGAAGAAAACGACAACTGAAAAAAGAAACGGATATTGTTATCAATTTAATGGGCCGTATTATTACGTGTTTTTTTCTATCGCCGGCTGGTTGTGACAAGATAACTGGTCCTCTTTATCTCTTCTCCGTTTGGGATTTACGTCTCGTGCTGCGAAACCAATCAGAATTCGAAGCGGCAAACCGAAGAGACTCATCCGCTTTGCCGGCATCGACTGTCCGATTGCGTCTGTAATTTGCAAACAAGCGTTCGAGTTTTACGTCGTGGATGAATGATGGATGCGTCGCATCGGCGGGGTCTCGTCATCGACACCGGTGATTCGCCGAGTGATCTGAATGAACGCGCGATGCATATTGCATCGATGAACACGCGAAATGAATATGCGTGCGGACATACCGGCGTACATACCGAGCGGATTACGTTATATCCGCGTCAAATTGCGCCACATATTCGTCGATGATGGCAACGGAAGTGCGTCACCGGAGCGTGGACGATCCGCGTTTCACGCCTAAAATATATATATATATATATCTTCTTTTCCACGATATATAACGTGTCTTCTTAATGTCTGCGAAGAAGTCGGACAGGCCTCGTTCGCGGCGCAGGCATTACGGTTGGCAAATCGGCAGATCGTAAATCAGATAAGATGTTTATGTTTATGCAATTTGTGCCGCGTTATTAGACGATAACGCGGTTACTGACGACCGTTTCTCTTTTTCGTGTTTCAGAATGTACCTTCGGCAAGCAGATTCGCGAGCTGGGCTCGACATGGTTCGCGGACTTGGGACCGCCCTTCGGAGTCATGTATTGCATCAAATGCGAGTGCATACCGGTACGTGTGTTGCAACGTTTTTTCTTTTTACTTGCAAAGTGAGAGAAAAAAAAGAGGTACACAACTCGGACATTGCGGTCCGTATTAAAATGTGTCGTATGTCGCGCATGTAGCTCGCGCATGTAGTTCGGCGCGCACGTAGTGTTTAGTAAACAATCAAGTATCATGCCGGCATTTTATTAACATACATGAATAAAGAGCAACAGCGCGATTCCTGTCTCTTTATCCTTCGCCTTCGAATTTATTGTTAAGAATATACACTATAATCAAATCTTAAGTACTTATTACGACTTATGTTCTTTTTTCCTT